AAAGTTATTTTTTAAGCACGTAGGCTATTCAGTATCTACATAAGTACAATTTTTATGATAATTTTATAAAATTTATACATGATTCTTACACACTTTAAAATATTCCTTATTTTTTTATGATCGATGAAATTATTATAAAATATATACACATGTATATTAGAATGCAGTCAATAAATATTTTACTACATTTATAAATTGAAACTCATTTACACGATCCCAGACATTATTTCATTCAAATTTCAGCGGGTTGCGCTCCAGAGAATATGGCGACCAACGTTGCCAACGCCACATTGGCGGACGTAATGAGCTATGGAGTGTCGCAAAAATCTAATGGAATGATTTTTTTTATATTATATGCACTTTACTAATTTTCACAAGATTTTTTTTTATTGAGAATTGATCATTTACTTTATTATTTTTTACATTTTACTTTTTTTAGAAACATTTTTATGTGATCATTTGATTTTTATGAAGTTTTTTTAAAGTTATTTTTTAAGCACGTAGGCTATTCAGTATCTACATAAGTACAATTTTTATGATAATTTTATAAAATTTATACATGATTCTTACACACTTTAAAATATTCCTTATTTTTTTATGATCGATGAAATTATTATAAAATATATACACATGTATATTAGAATGCAGTCAATAAATATTTTACTACATTTATAAATTGAAACTCATTTACACGATCCCAGACATTATTTCATTCAAATTTCAGCGGGTTGCGCTCCAGAGAATATGGCGACCAACGTTGCCAACGCCACATTGGCGGACGTAATGAGCTATGGAGTGTCGCAACTGTATAGTGAGAAGACTGAGAAGCACAAGTAGAAGGAGACACAACATCAAACGTGGATATCTGTCTCTCTTGCACATTTCTACCTTTGGTAATGTGCGAGAGATAGATACCCACGTTCGATTTTGTCTTCTTCTACTTCTGCTTCAGCGCCGTACATAAGAACGAGCAGTCTATTTTGTTAATATGTCTATGGTGGACGCTGTTTAATTCGTTGAGCGGGAAATACAAACATTTTATTCCCATTGGCTGATTCGGTTACATAACCTATTTTATTGGTCAATTTTATACTTTCCGCTAAACGAATTAAATGGCCTTTACTGTACAATATGATCGAAAGGAGGTCAATCCTACTGTCATAAGGTTTGCTCATTCAACCACCTTGGAGCGCTCCGAGCGCTCTGAGGCCTCCAAGCGATTTATAATTGAACACGAGTTCTTTGTCGAAGCACTCGGACCACGGTGTAAGAATAGACAGGTGGGCCGAAAGCCTACCTCAACGCATTGTAAAAAAAGTTCAAATTTTGTCGCAGTACCGATACTAGCCACCAGAGGGATCCGTGTCGTGCAGGCCATTGATAGTATGAAAATTTTTTTTTTCTTTTTTCTTTTTTTTTTTTATATAGTCATACTGACCATTATAAAAACTGCCTCTACTACTCGAAACCACCTAGCGGATTTTAGATGTACTGCGACACAAATTGGACTCGATAGAGGCGGGCCTTCGGCCCACCTGTCTATTCTTACACCATGACTCGGACTTCGGAGGCCTCCGAGATATCTTTACACTATAATACTCCCCGCTTATAACTGATGTTTGTAAACACTAAGCAGTTATAGTGAGTAGTTAAGTGCGTGGTGGCTCGGCCGGCTGGGTCGTGGATTGGCAAGCGGAAGACCGTTGTTCGATTCCCAGCCAGTGCGACTTTTCCAGGCAAGTACCTCTGTGATGTTTCACATGTGCTTTTTTACCACGCAATGCTCCTCCAGAAGGGTTTAGACGACCTTTTCGCAGCAAAATTGCCTAAATTCTCCCTACCCCCCTTCTGGATTGAGAGGCCCCCCCGTCCCTTTCCTTGTCCCT